TCTTTAAAACTCCAGTTGTAATTATCTACAGTGCGGAGTACGTGCTCTCCCAGATCGTCATTTGCTGACTTGCAATGAACAATTAAAGTTGAAGCAGTCATCCCATTTAAAATAGTCACTTTCCATCAGAGAACGGTAATTGTAACTTAGATTCTGCAAAACAAAACTTTATTGTATTGTTCGATGCCAAGGTAATCAACACGATTAAACAGAATATGCTTAGAGACTTCATTATCTTCTCCAAGATTGTTCACACTTTTTTACAAACTTAATTGGATTCTATCTCTTATATATACATAAATATAGCCAAAATGAGTGGTACCTGGTTATATTTAAACACAATTAGTTAAAAGTGTTGTGTATATTTTTGTTATTACAACATATATTCCATAACAGGGTGGGATGGTCACCTAAACTTTCTTAATTTTCTTAACTCATTTTTTATTTTATTAATTCCTTTTAAGTAAAGTTAAAAGCTTGATCATTCATTATTTAGAATCATGTTCACTTTTTAAATGAAAAAGAAATTAAGAAAATAATGATAAAAGATGGTTAAATATTTTAAAATAAAGTTTATGGCATCGAATATTATGTCACTACTAAAATTATATTTTATTTAAATACATTATAACCAAAATATTATTATAGTCATTATATAGATTTATTGGTAAAAATTTTAAAAATATGTTTATGTACTTTAAACTAGAAATTTTAAAAATTACCTAAAGAAAAGTTTTGTTTTAGATATTACTTGCCGCTTCTAAATCTTGTACAACATTCAAGTTCTCCTTGGTGCATGGGTTGATAGAACCGAAATCTCATGAGTCCAGTCTGAGCTTGGATTTGGGCGAATCAGCATGTGTAAGTTTGACTCCAATTGGATTCATCTTTTATTACATTACTAATTTTAGTTTCTTTTTTATATATATTATATATATTTTAAATTTCTCATACCTCAATATCTTATACTATTTTTAAACTATTCATACACTCCATACTATTTTTAAATACATATATTATAACATGAATGAGTTTCTTTTTAAATTTTAATAATATAGTTATATTGAATATGATTTATACATGCATTTTTAGGATATTTTAAAACAAAAGTATATAATGTTCGATATACATAGAATATACATATATTTGAAAGTATATAATGCTCCGTGTTCATCTTCCCTCTCTTCAAAAGGATTCGTCCTCGAATCACGAAAATTATCACCTACATCAAAAGGAGTCAAGTCATTAACATTGTAAATAGAACATACTGAAATTTCTCCGAGAAGATCAATTTTATAGGCATTGTTATTAATTCTTTTAAGAACAAGAACTTGACAAGGGTCATCCCCTTTGATGTAACTTGGTCTTTCTTTGAGATGTGAATCGCTCTTTGTGAAAATGTATCCAAAGCCAGTCATCGTTGAAAAATAATTTTCTTTCATTCTTTGTTAATTCCTGAAGCAACCCTTCACCTCTTTGTGCAATACTTTGATCAAATTTGTCTTACTTTTACTGCTTCACTCACAAAAAAAATATTAGAAATAATAGGAAACAAATCAAGAAGCGTAAGTGGAATAAATTCATAAACAACTTCAAAAAGAAAAAACAATGAGTGGTACTATGAATTGCTCTCTCTACAAATGCAAACTTTGTCTCAAAACTTAATATTCTTAGAAATAATAACTATCCTATGTGTCTGAGGATGACATGTAGTTGAAAACAACAACTTGGTACCCAACTTACCCTACAATACATTCCAAAAGTGACTTAAAAGTTTAACATCCGTATCTCTAACAATTATTCTTGGGTTTCCATGTAATCTTACTACTTCCCTAAAGAATAAGCTAGCAACATGCTTTGCATAATCCCTAAACAATTATTCTTGACTACAAAACTTGTGAACATCGTACTTCATCTTCGATCAAAAGAAGTGTTCATGCAACATATTATAAGTTTTATTAATCCCAAAATGTCTCATTAAGCCACCACCAAATTAGACTAGCTCCAAAGATAAACTAACAACCCTTGCTAAACCTATCAAGTAAGTGACTCTATTATTTGCTTGGTTGGATGAATTGTATTGCATATTATAACGCATACGTGTTTCCCTTGAGCATGTCATAATTATGATTGTTATGCTATCCAATGTTGTGTTATGCCATGTTTATAAGCTAGACTATAGTGTGACTATACTATGTATAATAATATGTTATTATGATGATAATCTATAATGTGTTAGGACGTGTATATGAAAGATTTGATAAGAATTATGTCTGCATAATTACGTTATAATGGAATTGGAGGTTTGACTTGCATTATAAATTTATGTCGTTATTTTAAGGCATGGAGACCTCATGAATTTTTGCATCATATATGCATCGTGATACTTTTCTATTATGATTAATACAAATGTGTACTTTACGACTTACGACAATTATGTTCGTCCCAATGTTACGTAGGCCCTTTCCCTTCATGGTGTCTGAAAGCACATTAGCGAGTGCTAGTCCATTGAGACAGGCCTAGGCAATACATGAGCCCTCAGGTGGGTCCTCGTGCTCGTGGTTCGGTCGTATGTAGAAAAGTACTATACATCCAACCTTGCCGGAACTGGAAAGCTACCTAAGGCAATGCCATTAGAACCTATCATGTCACATGTGTTTGTATTTCTAGACACCAAATGTACAGTTACTTACTACGTATTTCTTAAACTACTTAAACCACGTAATACTCTTATTTTTCAGGTAAAGGTTAGGCACAAAGGTACGGATGGTGACGCCGTGACGAAAGCCATGGAACTAGAGGTAGGGTAGACACAATTTATGTCTATTTAGTAGTCCTTAGTAAGTTCACGTCAATGTTTTTATTTTTCAATATTTTATCTAAACTTCACATGATTTATTTTTCGCATTATTGTTTTAAAGATTTTATTAGGAACGTGGGAGCCCACGACACCTTTTATGAAATATTTTATATGAATATTTTGCGTACACATTAATCATGTCATCTATGTAGTAACAACTTTATGTGAGTGATCATGTTTAGGTCGAGTTTCCATAGAATAGGTGCCAAAAATTTCTAAAATTCTTCTGGTTGGACATAATTTCCCATTAAAATTAGGTTAATATCGAAATCAAGAAAATACAGACAAATAAAGGTCAAACAAATGGAAAAAGAAGTATCACTCGTTGGTTATGGACCAACATATGCACAAATATCATGTACGACTACATACGCGCAGAGGCGGTCGCATGCGTAAAGGTGGTATGAATCTCAAATTGGGTCAGGCACATAGGGTGCGGGTCACGATTTGAGTTGGACACAGACAATCGAGTCTGAAATTTGTAACTTGTGTGTCGTCAATGCCTTCAAATAATTTTTTTTAAGATTACAATTAGTTTTTTTATTTTTTCTATTTCTTTGAAGTCTCATCTTCTCTCCTACAAAATTTTAAGAAACTAAGATGGTAAAGTTTTAAGCCTACTTTCAAAAAAAAAAAAAAAAAACATAATTATTAATCAATTAAAGAAAGAAAGACAGTGGGACTCGAACCCACAAGTAAGACACCTTATCCATTAGGCTCGGGCGCTTTTCATTATATGTGCAATTGTATGCAAATTGAATTTTCAATTGCTTATTATAAGATTTGTCCCAAACGTGGAGCCCATTGACTAGAGGATACCCACCTGATATGTAAATCAAATAGGCCAAAGAATGATTAACGGTCAAAACCATGGTAAATTAAAATTCCATCAATTTTGTTACAAATGTCTTTAATTGGGTTAGAAAAAATAAATACCAAATTGAATGGCATGTTCTAAGAAATTAGATAATGAATCTTTCATAAAAAGAAGTTGAAAATGGATCCTAAGTGGTCATATTTTTCTTAAAAAGACTAAAAACAAAAAAGAAAAGAAAGGAGAAATTAAGAAAACAGTTAAAGTATTTCTCTACTAGGGAACTAAAAATAAATACCAACATCTCATGTTTTATGAAAAATTAAAAAAAAAATAGAATTTGATCCTAAAAAGGCTGGAAGTGTTTCAAGAGACACAGTCTAAACATGTATCAAGGGCTTAATGAATTCTTTGCGACACAATCTAAAACCTACGTCTAAGGCTTCATATGTTTCAAGTGACGCTGCCTAGAAACCTATGCTCAAGCCTTCTACATTCCAAACGATATAATTTGAATGCTTATACTCAAGGCTTCATATATTCCAAGTGGCGTACTTTGAAACTTGCATTGAAGACTTCTTACACTCCAAGCAATGTAGTTTGAGTCATGGTTTACCATGAGAAAAATAGGGTTTCTTTTGTTTTGGAGTCTTAGAACCTTGGTTCTTTGTTCTTAGCATTCTTAGCATTCTTTTGTTTTGGATTTGTTTTCGTGTGTGATAAGCTTACTTAATACATGTTATTAAGGTGGTCTCCTAATTACTTAAAAGTCAAGGTCTAAAGAGGAACTCATTCTAATTTAGGGAAGCATCCGAATTACTTATTAAGCATAAGAGAGTAACCACTTTGCTTAAAGGCTCATTCTAAAGTTTATCCATAAATAGTAACCTAATTGCTTAATAAAGTGCTATTTTTGAGCTCTTCTTGGGTTAGGGTAGTCACAGAGTTGCTTAAACTCCAAGGACTATCCTAATGGTCTACATGAGATAGTATCCTCTTTGCTTAACAAAAAATCAAGTGGCATTTCCATAATACCCATATGTTTCAAAAATATATTTTTTAATTAAAAAAAATTGTTATCAAACATGGTTATATTTTTATTATAAACAATAAGAAGAACTCGTTACCAAACATGTCGATAATTGCTCTCATTTACAACAATAATATAAAATGTTGAAACGTCCTTGTTCATCAACTTCAAATTTAATGGACTATTGCATTACACTTTAGAACACGTGTTACTGCCAATGACAAATGGTTAACAATAACTCCCATTGGTGGTTTTTTGAAAATAACTAAAATACTACTAAAAATAAATAAAAACATTTGTTAATATGCTGGTTACCTATCTCAATACAACGATAACATGTTTCTTTCATTTCCATGGGAGTAATTGAGATTAAACCTAATTTTACCGGTATAAAAGGGGAACAAACTAAACTCAAATATTCAAATATTTACAAAATTAATTCATTTTCAACCCTCCTAATAAACTCAGTTTAGTTTGACCCATAAATTCTCCTACTAAACAAACAATTTGTCCTATTATGTTATGGGTCAAAATATTGTTTAGATACATTTTGACCATTTATAGATAAGGTATGAACTACCCTAAGCATAATTTAGTAGATAGGGTATGAATTAAGATCACAAAGTTTGATGGTTCAATTTCTTACTTGTAAAATGTTGAACTTAAAAAAATGAAAATTTAGAGATCTATTTGACATTGACTTAGGTTTACGGACCAAATAGATATAAAGTTGAAAGTTTGTTGGGGACTAAACGCATAATTTAGATAAATTTAAATGTCAAATAAGCTTTTAATCTTACATGATCTTATATGCTATTTATATGGTATGTTTTTATACCTCCAATAAAAAATATTATTAAATTTATTATGATTTTATATTTTTTAATAGAAATTATATTAGGAAAGGTAAATAGAGGAGTTATTTTAGTGTTACTTAAACCCCGAGCAATTTGATCGATTAAGGGCCTTAACTCACGGTTCTTTGTGTTTTCCTTTCATATACCCTTAATTCATACTTGCTATCAGATTCATACAAATATCCAAGTTATTGCTACAAGTATTTCTTTAGAAAAGTCCAAGATGGCTACTTACCTTATCTTGATGTTCGGGACCTCTGTTTTCGAGCTTTCGAATTCGAATTACCTCAAATTTTCTTCCACATTTTCCTTATTGTGTGCAATTTCTGGAACCATAAATTTTTTCATAAGAATCGGTCTCTGGAATGAAGAGCTAGGGATTGATTTAAAATGTTTCTACCCTGCATTTCTTCATGAAAATAAAGTTGGTGTTACAAGGAAGAGCTAGGGATTGATTTCATACCTTCTCGTGGATCGTAGTCTAAGATGGATGCCTCCAAAGTTCGTCTCAAATCTATTTTCTTGTGATTCATTATTGGGTAGCCGATTCTAGGAGTTTTCAAGGCCCGACTGTTTCATAGAACCTCTTCTTTATCGTTTCCTCAAGCTAAAAGAATTTGTTTGGAGGAACGTCTTTTTGCATGATACTTTAATTTTGAAAAATAGTCCTATGTCTACAACTCGTCTAAAAACGTGAATTTTCCTTTTCTTAGGTAGCTCATCCTACAACGTTTTAACTCTAGATTCCTACATCAAAGTTACTCAACTGGATTCTCTTAATCTAAGAAATTTTGGATCGTAGATAGGAATTCAACATTTACCCCCAAATTCTACAAGAAACAGATTTTCTTCCACTGGGCACATTCCTGAGGTTATTTTTCTTCACGATCTCCTATGAAAATACTTCTTGGAGGTGCAAAAACTTATTAGAATTTGTCTTGGTCGACGAACTTGTGTGTACGCCTAGATTTAATTTTCAAGCTTACTTTGAAGTTATTCAATGGCGGATCGGATTGGGGGAATGGTTTTTTACGCATTTTCAATGCTCGATTCCTTCATAAATCTTGTTTGCAACCTTGTTTAGAAGCGATAGGAACAAGTTTAAAGGGGAATAAGGGAGAATTGCTCTCCAATTTGGAAGAAACCTGAGAGTAGGAGACCCAAAATCTAATCCCTTATTGCTTGTGATTGAGAGATCGATTCAACTTGATTCTTGTTCCATACTATTGCCTCAACTTCAGACTATATAGGAAAAACGTACACGAATGCTTAAATCTCCATCATTGTCTCGATTTAGAGATTAATTTTCTAGATAATCCATCAGACATCCTCTTCGATCAACTAGCTATTGACTTCCAATTTTAATACTGACTCATTGATGTGGTGATCTGTGAACATTCTAGACTTTGTCCAATTTTGAAGGGATACAAGGCTGGTTTTTGAGACTCAATAGATTGTGTGTAAAAGGTGATAGTGAAAGTTGTGATTGTGGAAAGAAGGGCATTTTCATAATTATCCATATTTTAAGGGTTACTTTGGTAATGTCTAATTTTCTTAATATTTTATTATTATTTTTCTCCAAAAAAATATAAATTTTTCTAAATAATTTTCATCCTCGGCGGTCATTTTTCCTTTCTTGAGCATATTAAAATTCATTCTAGATTGAAAAAAAATGTCATTAAAATGTCATTTTTTGTCTTTTTCCTTCGCCTCTTCTTTTCCAATCATTTTTCAAATGTCTTAAATCCTTAAATTAATTTTTAGAGTATAGAAATTTCTTGCTTAAGACCGTTGTCCTTACATAAATGCATTAAATTATGCTACACACACCATGTT